TTCTAAACTTCGGATATTTGCTTTAATGTAATATATATATATATATATATATATATATATATATATATATATATATATATAATCTGCTCTGATTAGTTATTGTGCACCTTAAGTTTTTTTTCTTATTTTACTCGATTTTTTTTTTTTTTTTTTTTTTTGTTTAGCTATACATTATAATACTGGACGATTTTTTCAACCTACACAGATGTTTTTTGTCTTTTCTTTTTTTTACAATTTTTTTCCATAAAAACCAGTTTGTTTTAATATATTTCCATTTGCATATTGTACTATCCGTTTTTTCCAGCAATTAACATAATATATATTAATGTTTAAATATATATATATATATATATATATATATATATATATATATATATATAAAATTTATATTAAGTTTTATATTTGAGTTTTAAATCTTAGTTTATCTCACCTCCCTCCATTTTTTAAATCATTATTTACTTATCTTGGCTTTTTTTTTACTCTTTTTCTCTCTTCTCCCTTTCGCTGTTACTAATCACTTAGCTTCCTTTCTTTCTCCACATGTAAGTTCTTTTTACCTTTTATGGGAAACTTTCTAATAACGGAAGTGAAACCTGGGCTTCGTTAACTGAATTTCGGGATAAAATATTTTAGTAGCATCGTGATTTCCCACGTGATGAAACGTTAAAAAAAATTTAACGTTGAAAGATGTATAGTTTTGTAGTGGCTATGCGCATGTTCTAATGTAAAACTGCATAATAAATAAATAAATAAATATTTACGGCTCTACCTTTGTATTGAGCCCTGTTTTAAATTAATGTTTTGGACGCTGAAATCTTACTCTTCGTTCTTTTACATTTGTATATGGAATTTAACTATATATATATATATATATATATATATATATATATATATATATATTCATGAATCATTCATACAAAAAACAAATATAGAGGTTAATGATTTAAATGGCGAGAATACATCTTCGCAAACAATATAAATAAGATACACCAACCCCGAACCTGTATATGAATGATATGATCCCCGTTTATAAATTCCAGTTGCACAAGGTCTTTTTTAATTTTTTACAAGCTTTCGTCTGTTCCTACAGACATCCTCAGGTATGGAAGTAGATTTTGTTCTTGTTTTTACTCCTCGGTAATAAGAGGACAACGAAAATAGAGATGTAATCCGAAAAAATGCTATGAGAAATGTGTTATTGTTTTGGAACGTGCAGTCGCAACGCTGAGTTTGAATTTAAATTTTAAGGTTCTGCGTTTTTGTACAATTATAGCAATAAGAGAATTATTTTTTACTGGTAAATTTTCCGTGAATATGGCATGAACTATATTGTTCAATAATTACAGTAATGTAACACTTATTATCCGAGAGTTGCACGTTGGATCAGTTATTTTAATCTATCTTTTTAAATTTGGATTTTTTCAATAACTATAACAACAAAGACATTTCGATTTCATTTTTGCCTTGAAAAAGTCGGAAGACGAAACGCGTCAGCAAAACCTAAGATTTTTTTCCAATTGTCATTTTATACCATATATATATATATATATATATATATATATATATATATATGTGTGTGTGTGTGTGTGTGTGTGTGTGTGTGTGTGTGTGTGTGTGTGTGTGTGTGTGTTCTGTAATAGTTTCGTTGGACAAGACTGTATAGGTATTGTTTTTACTTTTTTTTATTATGATTTTATTTTGTATGAATAAAATGGTTTACTTTTCTGGACTTAATGAATGTAAAATTTTCCAAAGTTTGATAGTACCGTTACTTTTCGTTTAAAGTATTAGACATTTTCTCGGACCTCTTTTTAAAATACTGCTATAATAAATGTTATGCACGTGTTATTACATATACCTTTCTTATGACATATTCGCCTTATGTATAAATACGCCTCCCAAACATAAACATACTATTCATTTCTATCACTCGATATCTCTTCGTTTCTCTGTTTATAGGCCTGTCTTCAGATCTTTGCGTCTACTGAGTTCATAGATCTACGTGCTGTATACCTGTTACTATATCACGGTCTCTTCGTGTGTATTTCAGTCTGTTCCTAACGATCTTAGACCGTTTTTATCTCAGTGTCTATCCGTGAATCTTTTTTTTTTATTAAAGTCTACGGCATTCAAGTTGTCACCACTTTTGTAACTATTGTCTGCTTTCAGCAGTTGAACTTTCACAGCTCCAAACCTTATAAAGTGAAGACGTGACGAGAATGCCTAACGCTGATCAACCATTTTCATTTGGCGTCTTGTTAAAAAGCAAAGTAACATTCTTTTTTATAAGCATTCAATGGCTGACCGTCTGCCATTGACTTTGAGTCCGAGAATACAATATCTACAAAGATAATATAGACATATATAGCAGAATGTTAGATAGATAGATAGATAGATAGATAGATAGATAGATAGATAGGTGAAAAGAATAGATACATGGAAATAATAGATAGATAGATAGATAGATAGATAGATAGATTTAAGCCACGCAACTTCAATCCTAGTCAGCAGTTAAATGGGTGACCGTTCATGAATACTAGGTGGTGCAAGCTTGGGTGAGCGGGTGGTGTAATAGATAATTGCTCGGAATTATTAATCGGAGAGTCGAGTTTCAATTCCAGTTGTGTTCGTCATATTCACTTACGCACAAATGCCATTCGGAGATTTACTTCTTTTCCCCACCTGTGTGTTAATTATTAGGACTTGTATCACTAAACCATCATTATCTCCAAAAATATCTTACCATCTAAAATATTTTCTGGCTTTAAATAGACTGCGGTGGGTTGATAAGCTGTAAAAAATCGAATGAATCAATCAATCGAGATATGTATTTCAATCGTCTCATTAGATCGTGTCTTTCGTATGGATGTCATGCCTTGCGCTAAATTCGTTCAGAAATATCTAAACTGTCAGGTGTATACAAAACCTAGTAAAAAAAAACGGTTTCAAGTGTTTAAAGCACGTAGATATTACTGAGGGCCATGCTATATTGAACCTAGTGGATTGGCGCTACAGAATCACAAATAAAGATCTGTACCAAATAATTGAAACCATATCACTTGAGGACTATGAACAGCAGCAACAATAAAAAAAATATACATTGCATATAGCTCAGGGAGAGAATAATGAAATAATCAAGATGTCGTCGTTTCATACTACCCCCCCAAACAAATTTAAGAAAGGAAGCTGCCCGCCCCCATTAATACTGGAAAGAGATATAAGCTTCATTTCAAAATTCTGTTGACTCATCAGAATCTGGTGGTTCGATTTTTGTTCATTACAGAACAACGTTTTAGCTCGTCCTGAACAAGTTGTTCTGAGAGAACAGAAGGCAGGCTTTAGTGTCTCTTTTTATCTTCCCTCCACTTGCAGCCATTTTTATTTTTGCTTCAGTGGAAGTTCCCTTTTCAGTGATCTGATATTTACGATTCCTTCTGCATGCCATCCTTCTCTTCTATTCCCATTTTCCCATGCCTAACTTCTTGGATTTTAACCAACTCTTTTCATCAATTTTATATGCCACGACTTTCAACTATTGATAGAGATTTCCTTACTAATTTTTTTGTTCAAAGTATTGTGGACTGTCAACATTTTGATTGTGACTTTATTCACACTACACGTTAAATATGCAACACATTTTCATTGAGGAGGATGTTGATAGTCCTCAAGGGATGTTGTTTCAATTATTTGGTACGGTTCTTTGTTTGCGATTCTGTAGCGCCAATCCACTCAATAATATTTTCAGTTGCGTTCTGCCCGAAGACAAACGCATAATTCAGAGATAAAATGTAGTTTGTCCGCCCGAGGACAGATATTATTTTGGGGGGCTTGGATCAAAGTGTAAATGTTTTTCTTTTTTTTTTGTTACACTTTGATCCCAGCCCCAAAAGACAAGTAAAGAGAGGGTCTAGGAGTCTGAAAGTACCGATCTACAAGTAAATAATCTCGTCACAATAAGAGATAAAATGTAGATTGTCCGCCCGACGACACATACTACATTTTGATTCATGCTCAAAGTCCGGCGAGCGTGTGCTCTGCTTTAACAGATACTAAACTGTGATCCTAAACATAGGGCTAAGAAGTGACACTTTGATCTCAGGCACAATACACAGATAATTTCATCCTGGCCTGAAGTACCGATCTACATGTAAATAATTTCGTCGTAATAAGAGAAGAAAAGTAGATTTTTGTTTTGTTTTTTTTTCTGTCCGAAGACAGATACTACGCTTTGATCCCTTCTCGATGGCCAAGGAGTGAAGAAAAGCGTAAATTGTGTCGCACTGGCTGGAATATTTTTTCCTATATGCGCATAAAATAAGGCCAAAGATGGGTGGGTTATGCTGGTCTTTATCTGTAAAATTATCACTGGCTGCTCGATCAATGAATTTCCAATGTTTCCTTATAAGGAAACGGGTAATATTACCATTACTTTCGTCATTATTATGCTTTCTGGCTTCTTTATGGATCGGGGTTTTTTTTCTCATTAATTTCTACATCGTTTCTCCTATATTTATTGCGTATTATATTTAATATCTTGAAAAGAAAACGTGCACATTCGAAAAAGCCTTCAAGGTCCCAAGGATTCGCTTATAAAAGCAGGAATTATATCAACTCCAGAAGGCAAGAAATGCATAAACTTAAATGGTTCATATATTTATTGATGAGCAAATTTTGTGTTCATGCCCTAGTAGAGCCCAGCAGAAGTAAATTGGTCGCATCGTGTCATGTTCGGCGCCAAAGAAAAAGACTTCCTGTGGAGACGACAGCTATGGAAAGATATTCTCTTTTAGGGTGTTTTCGATTTTTACATATTGTGTATCTGTATTTTCCATTTGTCCGTGCAAGCTCATAAAATAATGGTTCAGCATCTGCTTCCATTCTTCTTTTAGGAATTTCTATCGACCAACGCCTCAAGTCCACTCTGCTTTCGTCACTCGATTGCATTTGGGACGGTTAGTTTATAACTTCACATATATTTTTCGACATCTCTGTATATTGTTCCATTAAGTTGAACATGTTTTCTTTTTTATTTATTAAACTAAGTAGCTCTACTAATTCGCTGAAAAAAAAAAACAGTATAGCATGATAAAAAAAAAACGGACACAAACTTGATAAAAAATTTGTATCGTCAAAACTGTATGTTATTATTAAGAGGAAAGACCAAAGCGTTTCGCCATCCTGGATATGACAATAAACTGCATCCGCGCCCAGGGTAAGACAATAAACTACTTCCAACATCAAGGCCTCTGATCAGGAGGTTTTGAGGAACTTGGAACCGCCTCTTAATTGCTGGTGTTCACAGGTCTCCCTTAAACCTGGAGTGGTAGCACCTGTGAGGGTCCCAACTATGGGCAAATAGTTAACGCCCAAACTTGTGTAAAAATAGGTGTTAATAGCAGAAATACTTTGTAATAATAATAATAAAAAATGATTATTACCAGCAATAATTTTTTAAGGAAAAATTATTATCAGCAATACTTTAAAAAAATACCAGCAATACAAACAGCTATATATTCTTTGGAAAAAAATATTACCAGCTACAGATTTCTTCAAGAAAAAAAAATATTCCCAGAAATTGATTTTTGAAGAAAAACATACTACCAGCAATAAAAATCTTGTCGACATTAAATAACCCATTGAGGTTGATATGCCGTAAAAAAAAAAAAAACATACCAAAGCATTTTGTTATTATTTTATTACATTTTTTTTAATCCTTTCTAGAACGTTCGAAATTTTGGTTAAAAATCTTGTTTTTCTTTACGTGGCTCGGATGGCGGAATCGGTGAACCGAGTTCGAATTCCAGTCGAATCCATTACATTCACTTACGTGCTAATACCCTTAGGAAAGGTATGGATCCTTTTCTCCCCCCCCTCTCCACCAGCTATAGGTAAATAGAAGGACAGACTGGGTTCTATAGCCTTGGATGGCAACTGGTCTACCTCAGAAAGAAATGGCAACCTACTGCGGGAAAAAATCTGCCGCGTCAGTTATGTATCGAAAGATACATGATCGCCTAAGTGTGTATCCCGCATGGCATATAACTATTTTCTTTACGTTAGTGGTGAAACCAAAGATTACTATGAGTATTTTAGAGCCCTTTTTTCCGGTAGAAAACACATTGATTTGGAAATTCTTCCAAAAGTCAAATAATTATTAAATTTTAATGAAACTTTCACGACTTATTCACAAATGAATTAAACCTTTGAACCCTGACCAATTCTTTACCAGTGGTAGAGAAAAATGACGTAATACCCAGTCACCGGTTAAACTGTGGTAGAAAAAAATGACCTAATGTCAAGCTACCGGTTGAACGGTGGGTAAAACGCTTTTTATATCTACCATGAAACATTACATCCCAATTATTTGCGAATTTTGACCCAGGAGTTCAGGCAGAAGGGTTCCAATTATTCAGGAACGCAGAACTCAAAGGGTTCATATATTTTTGAATTTTTTTTTTTTTTTTTTTTGATATTTTTAATATTTTTTTTTTACTGTTACTCTCCACTTACTTAATTTTATGAAATTTCGAGAAATTAAATTTTGATCGCAAAATGCTTTTATTAGTTAAAATCAGAACATCCTGGAGAATATAATTCATCTCTATTTTTTTTCAAACAGTTAACATTTTCTGAAAATCTGCTTCGAATCGTAAAATAAAAAATGCAATAGAACTATAACATTATTTAATTAGGAAAACTTTTAAATGTTTTTTTAAATAAGTTATATTAAAAACACTATAATCTTAAGAAAATTGTTTCGATGAAATTTTACAAGAATTGTTTACATTATTTTTAATTTTAATTATAATAATTTATAAAGTTTCAAATTTTTGAAAGTTGTGTATTACTTTGATTGCGATAGGAGATATTGTTATTAAGTGAGAGCTATATGTATTAATAAAAAAAATGAAAAGCTTAATACCTCTGTTCAAACTTGAACGGTGGGTAAAACGCTTTTTATATCTACCATGAAACATTACATCCCAATTATTTGCGAATTTTGACCCAGGCATTCAGGCAGAAGGGTTAAAATTTAATTTTTAATTAAAGCTTAACACCACGAAGAGACAGTTCAAATTTCTAGAGCATATAGTGAGGAAAGTGGTCTCGGGAAATTTGATACTCACAGAATAGATTGAAAAAAAAAAGAAAAGAGGAAAACAACGCATAATCTACTTAGTGAGCTTGAGTAAATGAATGAAAAAACAATGTTTTTGAGAAATAAAAAAGACAAAATTTATTAAAAGCTACGAAGCACAGGAAAATTAAGGGACACGACGTATAGAAGAATAATATATTCGATTCTTAATAGATTAAACAAAATGATTTCTCTTATGTAAAATTTCCCTTTCCAAATTGGCTTGAAAGTGTGTATGGCAGACGTAGAATCATTTTGAATGTATTCTAAAAGAGGCGTCTTGAGAGGAACACTTCACGGAATAAAACCGAACGGTTAATTGAAACCTTCTACGGATGCTTCAACTGTTCGGTTCGATCATT